TACAAAGCGTCGACCGAGACTTAACTGGAGAACGCAGGGCCGTTTTGAACATTTTCAGCGACGAAGATAGCGAGCGACGAATGTTCGAGGCAACCAGGCTAGTCTATAGCCCAAGTTAGCATCATATACCATCCTTCATCAAGGGCACATACCAATGGCCCATTACTCAAGATAAATCGATCTGCCAATTGAGGAGCTTCGGCGGCAAGGCGCATGGAAAGAACGCAGCCCCAATCATGGCTCACAATCACCGTCCTTCTTTGACGCGTACCGGCATCAGTATCAATCCCGTACTTCACCCTGATAGCGATGATAAACTCGGCCAGGCTCTCCAGCACGTTCGTTGACGAGTATTTCTCTAGGCTATCGGTACCACCGTATCCGGGTAAGTCAACCGCAACCAAAGTGGCCGCCTCCTGCAGAGCCTTCGATTTGAGAAGGTAGCGCCATACAGCCCAGCTATCAGGAAAACCATGAATAAAGATAATTAGCGGTTTATCAGCTGCAGAGCCCCCGGGGAGGTCGTTAGAAACATAATGGAACTTGAAGCCATTGCGCAGGGTGATATAATGGTGGGAAAGGCCGGACCAAGTTTTCGAGAGACTCCAGAAGCGATCGCGAGCTATTGAGAATGTCCACACGTTAGTGGGAAAAGGACCAAGTACGATTGAGCGATACAATCCACCACATACCTAGCTGCAGCTCCAGGTGCTCTTTCTCAGTGGTTCCTCTAAAAAAGTACCCATTCCGTATAGCTGTGAGTCCGTATAGAATCAAAGTGAAGAACCCGTAAGCAAACACGACAGCATATTTCAGTGTGCCCGACAATGCTTTCGCCATGTTGCGTATCGTTCGGAGTGCGACCCCTCGTTACACACAAAGGCAGAAATCAAATGTTCAAGGTCTCAAAGACAGACGGCAATGAAGAATTTAAAGCAAGCTTCAGCTCTATGCTCAAAAAGCAAATGCTTTAGAAAACTGTGCACTTTTGAAATGGAGATTATGTGTGCATTTTGTAGCTCTGGACAATAAAAGGAAGCGGAGGAGTCGCTTTCCGCCACCCAGCAGCTCTCTATATATTAGCTTTAGTGGCTGCGGGCGGGGAGCTTTAAGCGGGTTTGGATGGCTTGGTGCATGTGATTCTGTGGAGTACCCTTCTTACCTCACTGCTCAGGCCAGTAAACCTACCATTCACTATCAAACTCAAAAAGTGCAGCCTTCGTCATAAGGGGTTCAGTGAGCAGTGAAATCATGCTTAGTCGTTACTCAGGGGCGACACTGCATGTTCAATACCTATCAAATAATAGACTTGCATTATAGACATATTTGAGCATTGTCCTATGACCTCATCCCACCTACATAAATCGGCTGAAATTTCTACAGTGTGTAACGTGCTGTTTCTCGAAATAATGTACCAGAATCGTGACAGCTACTCAAAACTTTTGGTAAGTCTGTGGACATTTCAGTATCACTGGGCTGCAGGAAAACCCGCACCTTCTGCGTGCGTCAGTTGCCATGACAACGCGGATGATAAGATCTTTTGTCACAGTATAAGATAGCCCATCAGATGCATTGAAAGTTGATAAGTATACAAAAACGCCAAAACTCCTCCCATTTTAATGCATCCAGCCAGTTCGCAATCATGTTGACATGGGTATTGTACAGGGCATGAAGTAGTCGTGAAGATAAGCAAAGCAAAGAAAGAAGTGAAAATGCACCGCAAGAGAGCCATACATAGGATCGTGAGATAAATGATGAACGAGTTCAGTCATACAGATGGCAATCAAAGGGAAAATCCTAGGTCTTCCCTCTTATCGTCGACTAGGCGCCCGTATCTATCCAACCAAGGTTAGGCGTTGTCTAATCATGTAGGGAGAAAGCACTCACTCTAGCAAGAGCCTGAAAAACCAGACTTCCAAGTCTTCACGGCGCAAGCTCCTTTGTGCCCAATCCCGACTCTGTTCAGCTAGTCGTGGCGCCGCGGTTCTACCTTCTTCTTCTGAAACAAAGTACCTCGTAGTTTCCACATACTCATCGCCCGTCAGACTCAGAGGAACGTAATGGACCCATGGCTTGAGCCATTCGTCATGCCATTCGCGGAAGATGGCAATTTTGAAAACCAAGCTATGGCTGCGTAGAAAGGCATAATAACGGCCGCTGAAGGCATTCCCATCGATATCGACCAGGTACTTATACGCCCAAGCATCCTGCTGACCGGCTGGCTCACCCACAGCAAAATATTCTTGCTGCGCAGCACAGTCATTTGGGTCGCATTGACCAATGTATGTGAACTTGATATCGAACTGGTCTCGGTAAGGGTCACTGCTGACTTCGTTTAACTCCCACTGGTCATTGTCATTTTTGGACAACACTTTTGCTGTGCTCTGGGTATTGATGTTGCTAACGAATCTCTGTCGATGCTGACGTCGCCATCCGCCTGCTCGCGCAAACCCACCGGTTGTGGAGCCTCTCCAGTACAGTTTGTCTGTCTTCGCATCCCAGCTCTGATCCTTTCCCTCTTCATACGGCACCTTATCAACCCAATACCACGGGCTGGGGTAAAGTATGTCCTGAAAGCTTGAGATCTTGCTCTGAGAGAACACTGGGAACAGGTCACGGACCACGTCAAATGCGTTGGCCCGGTCGAAGAAGCCATATTTGTACCGAAGGGAAGGTGTATTACATATGTCAGAGAAAGCAGTCGTGTTGTAGATGAACCCCAATTCACCATGCGCATAGGCCTCCAGATTATCTGGCTCGCTCTCATTAAGAGAACGCGCAGGGGTATCCAGCGGACAGGAAGCCCGAGAGCTTGTCCAGGTAGGTTGATGTGCAAATCGGTTAAAGCGTGTGGTGCGCACTTCATCAACCCGGTCGCCCTTGTTCAGATCGGCGGGCTTATCGGACCATTTGTTCACCAGTGGTTGCTTGCGGAAAGCCTTAGGGATTGCTTGATCTTTGGCGAAGTTAACCTGCCTTTGGAGGTCGTCGCTGGGGACAATCACTCGGGGCTCATCGTGGGTGTTGAAGACTAAATCCATATCCGGCAAGTACCGAATGAAGCTTTTCATCATTTCAACAGTCGCATCTTGCTGCCATTCGTATCCTTCACGGCCCCCTTCCGCGTGCGTAACCTTGCCATCTCTGATCAGAATTCCAATCATAGCGTTGTCATATCCCAAGGCTTCACGAGCTCTTTCTCGTATTGTCTTCGGTTCTAGAGACCAGAATGGTAGGAGAGAATGATAGATAGTATCGTATTCGTCAGTTAACTGAACTCCCTTTGCTTGAGCAAACTGGAACCATTTATCGAAGTGAGGAGGAGGATGCATGTTATATCGACGGCGATATTCGTTCACCGCATCGGCCAAAGTCTTCGATTGTCGTGACCGCAAGTGGTTAAACTCCTGCTCAGCATCTTGGATGAGACTGGCCACCGGGTGGACATTATTTGGATGAAGTGCTTGGCGACCTTTTGAGGGCTCGATAGGATTTGGCACCGCAACCGAAGGAGAGGGCGGGTGAGAGGACGGCAAAGGGGTCGCCTCGAATGGCGCATTGAGGCTGTTGGACGAGCGAGGAGCCGTTGTGTCCCTAAGCAGAATAAGGGAGATGCACACAAAGACAACGGTTGCTAACGAGACAACCAGGCGTTGGCGTCGCATTCTGCCACCTGGAGGGGAATCTCTATGCATGGAGGAAAACGAGGAAAAAGCATTGATGCGATTTTTATGAATGAAGGACATGGTCAATGCCTGTATTCATGCGCCAAAGAAGGGAGAACGAAGGGGGCGTTCAAAGGCGCAAGGGCGAGATACCTTTTGTCCTACCTGGAGTCAATAAACAATTGGCTCAAAACAGAGACTCCACACGCTTGGAGGACGCCAAGAGTCGCATGTTCTTTCAGTAAAGCCGTCAAAGGTTCTAGAATTATAAATGATACAGGACGAATGACAAGATTGTACGATCATAACCTTGGAGAACTATTGAGAACAAAGAATAATCAAGTGGTCAAGTCGACCTCATCAAATGACGACAATTTTGACGACCGATGACCAAATCGACGGACGTCCGTTCCTGGTCGGTTTCCCCCGAAACGATGTTGATTCTAGCGGGGAGGATCTGAGCGAAGATCCGGTCATGTTAGTGGGGCGTGCAATTATGGCTGCTTACCACTAGACCTTTTCCAGTAAGGTGGATGATTATGTGGAATCCACCATGATGGATGGAATGAATTGCCCTGTGCTTCCCCCCTTTGAGATGTAAATCAAGCACTTGTTCTCGAATTATTGTTTTTTCTTGGATGTCAGGAACGGAAAACCATTCTGTCTCCACTCCTCACTGTAGCATTCCGGTGTTCTGCATCACGGCATTATGAAGAAAAGTTTGCTGAGAACTTATATCTAGCAAACAAGGGATCTGTAGATCTATGATATCCAAGGGGAGTAAAGGGCTACACACATTATCCTTGCTTATATGGGAAGAAATTACATCAGATCTACAAAGTACTCTAAAATGAATTTACATGTTTGTGTCGACCAGCATGACTTTCTCCTCGTATGGTCTGCTACCCTAGTTCCGGTGAGGTCTTTCTGAAATATTGGACGCTATCCTAGTTGTTTCTTAGCTAAGACTGAGGCTGAATCTCTATACAGGATCTATCAGAACTCCGACCCTATAAGGAGAACGACGGCCTTAATCATGTCGGGTGATGTATATTTACACACTTGTATCATACAAGTGATTAACCTAAAGTCCCGCGAGGATTTCTGTGCATGCAGCAAACCACATCAATCAACTTGATGGTTTAATACAGCCTCTGCAGGAAAGCCATGCGCGTTGTGCTTGCTCCAAATTAAGTCAATTATAATTCATGCTTAAATATGATATATTATATGACATTCAAAAAGAATAGGAGTTTCACGTGTTATGAACATTACCATTTCTATTGTCAGACAAAATACCCCCTCGAGCATACTAGACAATGGCGATTGCCTCCCTCAGACCACGTAGAATCCAAGCGCTGAAATAAACCTGTTGGTCCTTGGGACGTCTCAATGACTGGATCGTCCATCCTTCCGCCGCAGCACCCTCGCTCAAACGTACATTCACCAAAAGACAAAGAGTCTATTCATTCTCATATCTTACACAAATAACCAGGCCCACCAAATACCATAGGCACATCATAAGATGAAGCATCTACCCCAGCAGCAAACCACACCCCCCATTGAGAGCTGCAGCACCCAAGGCTTCAATCACGAAGGCCTGCGCCTGAGCCACATGGAAATACGCCGCAACACACAACACCACTAACAAAACATGCACATAATAAAACATCTCCCTCCTAGCCTTAACAGAGGAGGTCGGCCACAGTTGCACCCAGAATGCAGTACGCAGCGGCCGGACAAATAACAGGATCATGACTGCGAAGGTCAGGCCGCCGAACCCCCACTGAACGTCCGGATCTTGGATACGCTTTGCGAGCAAAGATCCGAAATCTGGATGACTGGACTGGGCGAAGAAGTTTAGATACAGTGTGGCATGCCCGGCCAATAATGGGGACATGACAATCCTGCCGAACAGGCGGTGGTATGGAGTCAGTGCTGGTTGTGAAATAGATGTCAAGACAGACATCGTGGATGGTGTGGCTGGGTTTTTGGGGTTGAGGTAGAATGCCGGGGCCATGAGAACTTGAAAAGGTAACTGGGAAAGAGCTACGTGACCCAGGGCTTTGGTGAGGTGTAGGTAGTCTGTTCGTGTGATGGTTAACTTTATATTGCTTCTTTTTCTATTGCACCGGAATTGGTGGGTGCGAATAAATATCTCTACAAGGGAAGGGGAAGGGAAAGCATCCCGGATGATATTCAATGGCTAAAAGGAAAGAGGAAACAGCCTACCAGTGCCAGATTTCCATACTGAGAGGCCTAACAGGCACACCAACCAGGTAATACAGATGGTATACTGCTTACGTGTCTCTGTCCAATTTGCAAAAGGGGGCAGATCCCACCATGACCTCTGCCTACGGCGGGTGCGGGAGCCATTCGGGGTATCAGTAGCTCGAAAGTAGTTGTTATATAGCCGTACAAGTATTATGAAAAGTAAGAACGAGCATTGCGCATAATATCCGCGAAGGTCTAGAAGTTCGCGGCGATGCTGTTTCTCCGTAGGAGAGACAGAAACAAAGTGCCAAGGCCACTGTAGTGACATCAGAAATGTAACTTGTAGATTGGAAAAAGAAGCAGAAATGGCAACAAATCCTTCATAAAAAGAAAGAAAGAAGGAAAGAAAGTGAAAGGGTGGTAGTAGAACTCAGTAACTGGTATGGCGATCCCCGACTATTTTCTTGGTTGCCTTAGTTATGCACTACTTACGAGTGGCCAGCCCCGAATCACATGATTCATTTAATACCCCTACGCAACAATACTCAATGACTGCGATATGCTTAGGTGGAGAGATTCTAGTAAAGGGGTCAGGCCTGGCATTATTGGATTTGTGCACGATTATTGAACAATGGACCAAGAAGACTCTACATTTAAAACGCCATCAAGCATTTCGTCCCAGTCAGATGCTCTGACTATTTCTAAGGTAACAAAATTGACAGTCCTCCCAAAAGTAGTGAGTGCCGTTGTATCATTTCCCACTCGCACTGAAAGGCCTTCATACAGCGTGGGAGCATCTATCTAGCTAGGTCAACAGCCTACGGTGAAGTCTGCATGACCTCGTCATTACCGCCCGCAGCAGTTGTTGCGAAGTACCTGACATCCACATCGTCGTCCCCTTGAAGCTTCTCCAAGCTGGGAATAATTCTCTGTTGGATAAGGTCCTGACTACGCGGCGATGGCGTCGCAGTCTTTCCTTCCACGTTTGCCAAAGTGCCCTCCGCTGGCAGGCGTCGCAATGTGTCAATCAACACAGCATAAGACTTGGCAACGTTGAATCGAATATTTGGGATCTCGTCAGTGACCAATCGGTCCAGAATGGGAAGAATTGAGTTCTCAATGATATCTAAAGAGACGACAGGCGCGAGTGTCTGGAGAGGATGTTAGCTGAATTTGCATTCCCATGGGGATATATCATATACGCACGGAGATCGCGAAGCAAGTTGTCATTCTGTAGAGGTAGTTCGGGTGCTGTCCCATGGCCATAACCTTCGGGATTATGGAACCCTTAGCCCAGTCAACCCCAAATACCTCCGTGAGCTTTCTCAAATTCTGCGTGGCGGCCTCTCTGATAGAGAAGACTGTGTCCCCGAGCCAGCTCATACAGAGATCGCTGAGTTGCTCGTCGAAGAACTTGACTCCCAATTGGCTGGCGAGAAGAGGGATATATTCAATGATAGCAAGACGAACACGCCATTGCTTGTCTTCTGCTAGTTGTACGATAGCGGGAAGAAGCGACTGGGACAGCAGCTCAATGCCAATAACTGCGAAATGTTAGATGATACAACTATGCCGTCAGATTCCACGCTTACCGTTGTTGACCAACTCCAGCTTCGAGATGATGTGCAAACGGACATCAGGGAACTCATCTTTGAGCATTTGGAGGAACATAGGGAGAAGGTGAGCGATAGTCCTAGGAAATAGTTGTAAGCCTCACTAGTGCATCATCCCCAAAACAGATGGTTGTACTGACTCTTCCTTTCCAAGGATCGGGGCAAGTCCGCTAATCTGAGTACCCAAAGCCGCACGCACGTGCTGGGATGGGTCCGAAACAAGGTCTTCCACGCTGGTCATTATTTCATTAAGCAGTGTCTCCCGGTCGATCAAGCTGCAGAAGCCTATCTCCAAGTTAGCCCAAGAACCATATCAAGTAAGCCGTGGAACAAATACCTGGAATTTGGCCAGCAATCGCAGTACGGACTTCAGCCTCCGTATCCTTCAAGAGTTTAACAAACGAGGGTACCATATCCCGAGTGATAACTTCTTCGTGAACAGCTTTGGCGATCTAGGAGAAAGGATTAGAACAAATAGATGCAAAATGATCATGCAATGCTTGAAGGGTATACCTTTTCATATCTGTCGGCAACCATGTATCTGACTCTCCAACTCTTATCCTCAAAGAGATTCCGTAAGGATGTCAACAAAACACCGTGGCTAGGCTGCTGCTCCTTGGGGATCTCCTCGGCGATCGAGATAAGAATATCCACTGTAAGCAAGCGAACACTGTCCTGGTCATCACTGGCCAGGTATTGGAATAGGGGTATCATTTCTTCGATGACAACTGGGGTCTTCATTTCCTTGACAAACTTCGCCAAGTTGTTGGCAGCCTGTCTTCTTACCATAGGCGTGTCATCATGTACCAGACCTCCGAAATATTGCCGGAGACTCTGCTGCAATGCTTGGCCAGACTTCTTGTATGGAATGCAATAAAGGCCCGTTGCGGAGACTTTCGAGGTGAACCAGTCGGCTTTTGACAGACGTAGGACCATAGGGATGAAAAATTCTTCAATCTGCTTCTCGGAAAGCTGCTCGCCGATCTTGTTGAGGGATTCAACAGCCTAGTGTTCTGTAAGCGCAGGATCAACGGATTCATTCTATGTTGTATCTTACCTTCTCCCTAACCAGAGGTTCCTCGATAGCCGCCAGGTTCTCAAGGGGGGAAAGGAGAACATGTCCATATTCCGGGCCACCAACATATTCTACGAAGTTGCCCAGTTCTTCGCTCAGTGCAGTCAAAACTTCATCTTCGTCCTCGACAGAATCTGTGATGGCTCGTGTTAGGTGTGCTCTGCTTTCTTAGCTGGTCCACGGATGATGACAGGAGACTGACCGTCAAGGAATGGAATGAGTTCCTCCCGGGTCCTCTCAGCTCCTAAAGCCAATGCAATGGTAGAAACGCGGTGAATAGCATTGAGACGGATGAGGACATCATCGTGCTAGAAAAGCCGGGGATTAGATCCGTCGACATTTATTCGTAGGGGCACCGCGCCATTAGGACGGAGTACCATACCTTCAACTCGTCAATAAGAACGGCGATAGGGTAGAGCTCGTCGTTTTCACCCTGACCCTCCATCTCGAATTTATTGTATTGTATGTTGTACTATCAGACAATGGAGACGATTAGAGAGGCGAGGACGTGACAGGTCCAAGTCCTCACTTTGACCACTGGTCGATCTGATATCACGCGAACGCGGCGATAATTATGGTGGGGAAGTTTCTAAGAAGCGTAGGTTGTCATATAAAGTAACGACAATGTGCGGAGGCTGCTCGAATAGGGATTAGTTTCAGCTGTCGGGAAGAATAACGGTGGTATAGGGAGGGATAGGTGGTTTGCAAGTCCCCCGGAGCGAGAGGTTTCGTGGGGTTTGGGCCGCCGCAGGACAAGTGAGCAATAATAGCAGCAGTATCATACCTCGACAATTGGACCGGTACCGAGCGAACAATCGTCTGGCGTTAGTGTCTCATAAGATATTAAAATGTTGTGGAAACAAGATAATGGAAAATAAGAACAAGGTGGGAGTATATTTGAGGGAGATTGCGAGTTGAGGGGAAGCTTTGTTCTGGAGGAATCTTGCGAAGGTGACGGTCTGCTGGTCACCGTGACTTTGGGAAAGCAATGGGGGCTTGTGGCTGGTGCAAGACGTCTTGCGCAGTTCATCTGCCGTTCCGTAATGAATTAGGAGGGGTGTAATATGTGGCGGTGCACGGAGATGTGGCTGACGCAGCGCCCGCCTTGAGGGTCAAGCCCCAAGTTACTAACGGGGAACAAAAGTGCCACGGATTTTATGACTCCTCCACCAGTGGCATAGACTCAGCGCAATCACTGAACCCCGCACACGGATACTTTTGCCGTTGGACTTCTGGGTAATTTCATCGAGTTACCTTCTGTGCGTGGGAGGCTTACTGAACCCTTTCGAGCCCCGATATCTTTATCTTGAATCGCGAATACCCAACCCCTCACCATGCCCACCATCTCGGTCGACAAGGCCGCGCTCTTCAAGGAGCTCGGACGGGAGTATGGGAAGCCCTAGCCAATTTGTTCATATCAATTGCTAATAGTCCTTCTTTGATTTCAGGTACACCACCGAGGAATTTGATGAGCTGTGCTTTGAATTCGGTATGTCGGAGTTATAGAGAGAGTAGTTTTTAGTGGGGCTCGCGCTGACTGGTTGAAACAGGCATTGAGCTCGATGAAGATGTAACGACTCTATTCTCTACCCATAACCCATCGCAATGTGGATGAACACTAAACGGAACCCTGCAGACAACAAATTCAGACCGACCAATCGTGGATGGAGTGCAGGAGCCTCCTCAGCTTAAGATCGAAATCCCAGCCAACCGGTATGCACACACTGATTTCCGAGTGATTGATATATGTTATATATTCTGAGACACCTGCAGATATGACATGCTTTGCTTCGAGGGCATTGCCCTCATGCTCAACATCTTCTTGGGTCGGAAATCGCTGCCCAACTACAGACTGGTCGAGCCCGCAAACAGTGAACTGCAGAAGATCATTGTTAAGGAGGATGTAAGTGGCTCTTAGAATTTGCCAACGTGATGAACCCAAGCTGAAGATATATGGCGAAGACTATGAAAATCCGACCTTTGGTCTCTGGTGCTATCTTGCGGAATATCAAGTTCGATAAAGCTCGCTATGAATCCTTCATCGCCCTGCAAGACAAGCTTCATCAGAATCTTGCAAGGCAAAGAACGCTCGTTTCGATCGGTACTCACGATTTGGATACGATACAAGGACCTTTCACCTACGAGGCCTTGCCTCCTAAAGATATCAATTTTATTCCTTTGAACCAGACCCAGGAAATGAACGGAGAGGAGTTGATGGCCTTCTACGAGGTATGGCTACTGCATGTGCGGTAGATTAGGATAGATGCTTACGTCTGTAACAGAAAGACAAGCACCTGGGTAAATACCTCCACATTATTCGCGACTCCCCTGTCTACCCCGTCATCTACGATTCGAAGCGGACAGTTTGCTCACTTCCTCCCATCATCAACGGCGACCATTCTAAGATCACCCTGGACACTAAGAACGTTTTCATCGAGATTACTGCCCTTGACAAGACAAAGGTTGAGATTGTCAACAGGATGATGGTTGCGATGTTTTCCCAATATACTTCGGAGCCTTTCACGTAAGACCTCCTATCACCTCTCGTCCCAAGTTCTGGTGGTCTAACCTTCTCATAGAATTGAGCCAGTTCAAATTGTCTCCGATCACAACGGCGAGACCAGAATCACGCCAGATATGTCTTCTCGTACAACCCAGGCCGAGGTCTCCTACCTTAACCAGTGCTGCGGTTTGAACCTCTCTGCAGAGGAAATCGCGAAGATCCTGACCAAGATGGCCTATACCGCTAGACCCTCCGCAGAATCCGCCGATCTGATCGACGTGGACATCCCTCCAACTCGTGCTGACGTCCTCCACCAGGCAGATATCATGGAAGATGTTGCCATTGCTTACGGCTTCAACAACCTCCCACGGTCCTTCCCAAGCAAGTCCGGTACCATCGCCCAGCCCTTACCTATCAACAAGCTCTCCGACATTGTCCGAACTGAGGCTGCAATGGCGGGCTGGTCTGAGGTCTTGCCTCTCATCCTGTGCTCCCATGACGAGAACTTCGCCTGGCTCAACCGCAAAGACGATGGTAACACTGCCGTTAAGCTGGCCAACCCCAAGACAACGGAGTTCCAAGTCGTCCGCACTAGCCTCCTGCCTGGTCTTCTGAAGACTATTCGCGAAAATAAGCACCACTCCGTTCCCATGAAGATCTTCGAGGTCAGCGACGTGGCCTTCAAGGACCTTTCGCTCGAGCGTAAGAGCCGGAACGAGAGACACTTTGCCGCCGCATGGTACGGCAAGAACAGTGGTTTCGAAGTCGTCCACGGTCTTCTGGACCGCGTCATGGCCATGCTCAAGAGTGCGTTCATCACCGGTGAGGAGGGCCTCGAGAACCCCGGTATGAGCGATTCTCAGTACTGGATCGAGGAGCTTGATGGTAAGTTCCAGTTACCGTTACCACCCTACTAACATAGACCTATTCCTAACATACATTACAGAGGCAACCTACTTCCCCGGCCACGCTGCGTCTGTCCACATGCGCATCGGCGGCAAGGAGCACGTCATCGGTGCCTTCGGTATCTTGCACCCTACGGTATTGGAGAAGTACGAACTGAAATACCCCGTCAGCACGCTGGAGCTCAACATCGAGGCTTTCCTATGAGCCATGGTCGTAGAGCGAGCGAACGTGCGTAGATTTTAGATGTTTCATGGTTCAGATATGTTTAGAAAGATAGTTGATGTCATGAATGAACATTAGAAATAACAAAATAAAAGTGATATTTGATACGAATGCTGCTATTTACATTCTAACAGGATCTATGTCAGGGTAGCATCGCAATATCGTCATTCTACAAGACTATAGATGAACGGTCACATGCGCTTGTACTCTCATGTCTACTAGATATTGGCCATGGTTTTGTTTCTCCCCGTGACTTAATAATCGTTGCACATAATGAACCGTAAATTGCTTTTTTTTATTTGCCCCCTAATTTCGTATCGGACATTATCTTTTCCTACCTAGATGTTTCACTAGGAATTCAGGAACAGAGCTGTGGGACGGGAAGACGCCTTTCCTAGCTTGCTAGCGGAGGAAGATAACCAAATGGAAGATCATGTAGTTGTTTATTTGCGTCAGGTAATGATATCAGGTAGGACGACAGGAACGAAGAAAAAAGAGCAGGGCCTAAGAAAATGAAACCAATTACTCCTGCTGGAAAGTCTCCGCACCAGCACCCTCCTGGCCTTCGGCGGCCTGCTGCTCGGCAAGGCGCTGCTGCTCGGCAGCCTGCTGGGCGGCGATAGCCTTGGCACCGTAGTCCTGGCTCATGGGCTGGAGGACGGGCTGCTCCTCCTTGGGCTCGATGATGGTGACGGAATCGGGGAGGGTCTTCTGGGGGCCGGCCTTGCCCTCGGGGTCGGAACCGCGCATGATCTTAACCTTGATACCAAGGACACCCTGGCGGAGGAGAACGTGACGGGTGGCGCTGTCGATGAAGTCCTTAGCGGGCTGACCGGAGTGGATCATGAATCCGTCCTATAGCCAGATATATGTCAGCAACGCTGTTGATTTCCTTCCCTTCATATAGCCGCCACGGCTTATCCTTCTCTTCACACCGCCCTTTTTCGCCGACAAAAACACGATCCCATGAGATATGCGAGAGAACGTACAGTGAACTTCATGGACTTAGCACGGGCAGCACGGAGCTTTCCGGAAACGACAACCTCGCAACCCTTGGCACCGCTCTCCATGATGAAACGGAGAACACCGTAGCAAGCACGACGAACGGCAAGACCGTTGAGGAGCTTGTAACGGAGGGACTCGCACTGAGCGACGGCGGAAAGACCGCGGTTCTGGACCTTGGCGGCATAGAGGGAGACGGAGTTCTCGGGGAACTTGAAGCGCTTCTGGATGAGGGAGGTGAGCTCGCGGATGCGGCGGCCCTGCTCACCGAGAACCTCCTGGGTGTGGGTGGCACGGATGACTGCAGAGAAAAAAAGAGCATCCGTTAGCATTCGTGTATGATCCTCTTCCGACTATTTTGCACCAGTAGACATCCAATTCATTCCACCTCTTTCATATTTTTATTCCTTATGAAAATTATGTTCTTCCTTCTCTCCATTGTTTTATCGCTCAATCCTTCTCCACCTCCCACAAAACAAATTGAAACAAAAAGCAATGGAATCTCAATTGGGCGACGTACTGATATCGGTGACGGTGGGAGTGACACGGACTTCAACGCCGGAGTAGCCCTCCTCAGCCAGCTCGCGCTGGAAGAACTCGTTCAGCTCGGCATAGAAGACACCGTCGGCGACGAACTTGCGGCGCTTCGAAATAGCTCCCTGGACAGCAGCCATGATTGCGTTTCTGTTGGGTGAATTAAGTTGTCGAAGAAACGGCCGAGGACGCGGTGGTTGCGGAGCACCAAAGTTGGGAAGTCGTTCAAAGGCGAAATAGTCGGCTGCCGTTCGATCAGTTTTGAACAGTCGGCCTTTAGTGGGGTTTCTGCCGTTTAGGGTTTCCCCTTCCCAATTCTGTGATAGGGTTAACCCTGGCCCGTCGCTTGTGCCCCTTCCATTTTTGGACCTAGCCTGCCTGGCCCGTCCAGTGGCCTCAGGCACTGAAATTTATGGGCCCCTACAATCGAACCTTAACCACTTTAGGCAACGAGCTCTCCATCCATGGATGCCAGGGTCCCATACTAAGAACATACATAGTACTAGAGTCTGTGTCAGCTAGACACTTTTCATCTTGCTATGCTCACATTGTCGATCAATCCAGCGCGAATCATGAAATCATGGGTTTACCGTTCCCCTTGCTGTATCTCTTTCTGTCTAGTACTCATACCGAAGAACAAACAATTGACAGGCCAAGCACACAATCATGCACACATTCATAAGCGAAGATTTATGCCCGTGGCATCCGGATCGATAATCCTGCCAGCTCTCGTAGATACACCGATTCATAAATATGGCCTAATACCAAACAGTTTTCCATTTCTTTTTCTTTTCTTTCTTTTTTTTTTTCGTTTTACTCGTTCATTGCATCTCAACTTCAAGCTGACCCATGTTTTGGGGGTCTTGCCCATTCTCCCTGGGCTTGGAGAAAGCCAAACTCGAGATTCCCGACGTGACGGCTGCCATGCCAGCTGAGGCAGCATTGTGAGCCCCTTTCATACCGGTGCTACCGGTCACAGCATCCTGAGCTGTCTCAATGCCAGCTAGCACCGGTGATCGTTCCATATTAATGTTCTCACGTTGCGTAGGAGGAGATCCAGTCGAACGAATACCGTTCATTTCCACATCCGTTCGACCAAATGCCTCACTCCACCACCGGACTTCACTGAGCCGTGGGAATATGAGGCGTTCTTTCCCCCGCTTATGATCATCAATATGGGGATCGTATTTCGCGTTCAGAAATTGTTCTTTCCGGGCGAGGAAATAATCCCATACACTCCGGGTACGCTCCTTCGCTTTCGACTCCACACGCTCTTTTTCACTGTTATAAAGAAATGTGCCGTACTGGCACGAGTAAAGATGATATAGCAGCCGGCGTAAGAACCGCTCGTTGAATTCGAACCGTGTCGGGTATTGGTACAGCAGTTGATAGGTGGCATCGAGGAATTGATGAAACACTGGACTAGTCTCTTTCACCTTCGTCACCTCCTTTTCGGGGGCAGCCGACCTTGGAGCGGAGCTGAGTTTCTTGGTACCAGGAGTATCTGAATCGTAGCTTTGCATTTCTCCATCGGACTCCGGAAGAGAGTCACGACTTGTGTTATCTCGGTTGAAGAACCCCTTGGCACTTAGGAATGCATTCTCGATAGCTTTGCCCGCACCGCCGGCCTCCCCGAAGCCACGATTGGAATCACCTCCGATCCTTTCATTCTCTATCTGGAACCACTTTTCACTGTTCAAGGGTCCAGAGCGGTGCCGAAACATGTGCCCAAAGGAAAGCCAATCCTTTTCCACCAGCACCATGAAGCCCTCCATCGTACGATAATAGGGGTCAAGACATATCTGACTTAAAGCGCTAAGCTGTCCGGTCCGGTCCCACCCATCCGAGCAATGTATCAATACGTGTGAGTGTTGGAGGCCAACTTGGCGGGCAATCAAGCCCGCGCCGTCTAAAATTCCAGTAATATGCTTTAACCACCCACTGCGCGTAAGCTGGTCTCTATTTGGTCCTAGAGGGGTGACATCCGAGTCCTTCAAAGCATCAATCACCTTATTCAAAGAGTCCCTCATAACGTGAATGTTGTCAATTCCGAGATATGCTTTGGTTGCAAATTTGTAATTGTCCATATTTTCCGAGCCGAGACCAACAGCCTGCATCGCAAATGCATTTACCGTCGGTCGTGCATCAACGATCAAGTTGTGTTGTTGTGCACCATATATCTGATGCTTGCCATCCGAGTCGCTGTGGAATGAAGTTAACAGCTCATCCTCCAAGTCTTCCGCCCTGGTCAAATCAGTCACGGCCTCATCATTCGCATCACCTTGTGTTGAACCAGAAGATTCTCGATCTAGATGCGCAGGGCTGAAATTTGCTAGCGGTCTCTCGGAACGAGATGTTGAGAAAATCGCAGCTAATAACTTCTCGTCCTGAATGCTCCGATTTTGACGCACACCCACCAGGGGTTGTGAGCTTCTTGTGATTGAGCAGTTGTTAACGGGATGAAGATATGTCAACACGGGCACTCTTGCCCTAGACCTATATCGCCCCGCATAGTTAAGCGTATTATCAGAAATGGAGGACGGAACCGGCAAGAGCGCAGGATACGTCGGGGAGAACTAAATCCGTCCACGTTAGCCACATTATCGAACCCACCACACGTGTAGGTTATTACCGTATAGTCCGTATTGATCCGAGAGATACGCCAGCCATGGTTATCCCGGTCTACTCCCTGTCTTGCCCACTCTTTCAGGGGGTCGTATAGCTCCCAACCGTTGAGCTCCCGCTCGGGAGGTGGTGGCTGGTAAGTGAAGGCGTAGAGTTTCTCGATCCGCCCAACCTTGCATGTCCACTGCTTTATACTCTCATAAACATCACGGCCTTTCGTCTCGCTGGCGAAATAGAAGCAAACGAATGCAAAGTCACGGCAACGCAAACGGATCGACGATGGTTGGCGGGAAGCAGCCGGAGCGGGGCGGAAGGTACAGAAAGAGATGATAGGATAAGTGATCCAAAGCTCTCTCGGTCTGATCGGCGTAGCAGAAGGTTTCGCACTGTCCGGCAGCGACGGGGTATGGGAGAAGATGATATGATGAGGGGTGAGGTGGAGGGTGCCAACAACCTGTTCACCACGACGCGCCAAGGTCACATCTTCAACCTGCAATCACGGATGAGGAGAATGTCAGGATATCCCGTCTCGAAACTTGAAGCATAAGCGGCAGTCGGCAAACCTTAGCGACCCGTGTTCTCTCCATGTCTTTGTTGTTTGCTATATCCGCATAAGCTTCATGACTGGGCGTCGAGGGGAACAAATTGGCACTGGCGCTGTACAGGAGGGAGCCGCCTGTAGTTGACAAGTCCCTTTTGGGCCGGGGGGGAGGAAAGAAGAGTTTAATGAAGTCAGAAAAGAAGGTGTAAACCAAGGAAAAGTAGGGCTTTGGCACGAACTTGCGTGGACCCTTGGGAAAGTGACAATTCAATTTGGGCCAACGGGACGGATTTGGGACTTGAAAATGCGGAGCCCCTCGCCTAGTGACCTTTTACGTCAAGGCCTAACCTTAATCACAATAAATTAGCCCCCGTCATTCAATTTATATCCTATGTTATATTTAGACCACACTCTATAGATCCCATCCTTTACACGGTCTACCTACACAGCATATTGCTTTCTTCTTTTCTATTTTTTTTCTTCTTTTTTTTCTGATATCGGGAAATCGCCCAAATGATTTCATATAATGTATTTGTTTGCAACGAATTTCCCCCTTTAGGCATCTCATAACTAGACATCACCAAGCCATGATGCAGAGGCACCTTGTCCAGATCCGGTGAGATCCCAAAACGTTCCAAATAGGGCTGCACTCCACTCGCAGCCAGTACCCCCACTCGGCAATTCAGCAGCACTCGAGATTGCCTCTTCTACGGGTTGAATTGTCGCGTTGACGTGAGTCCCCATAGGGAAGGGCTGTTCAGTGCTAGGATTGGACTCTGCTGTCCGAAACCCTGTCACAGGTGGTAAGGGTGCGTGAGCAGCAGCTTCCACGTTAGATGGCTGGTTAGCCCCGGTATTTGTTGTCCGCTGGGCTCTGGTGGACGAGATATTGTATAGTCTGATCGCAGGCCCAAGATCAAACCGTTCAGGTGTTGTGATATGATCCGGTTGCGTCGCTCGTGGCAATTGAGGGATTGTCTGCCTTCTACCTCGTGCGGTGAAAGCTTGGAATCGAAGTTTCTCAATAAGTCTCCAGCGGCGATCACGATAGTTATCTGATTCACTTTTCCAGTGGCGGTAGATCTCGTCGACAGTTTTCCACACCGCATCAGACTGCTCCTCTGGAGGTGCAATACAGCGATGGAGCAGGAGATAAGCCAGTGAATCCCATTCGACATAGGTCTGAAAAAGCCAGAGCCATCTGTTGCCTTTCTCGTAATTTCGGGGCGTTTGGGCGTACTGTAGGACTTCCTCGCAAGTCCTCCGGTAATTTGTTTGCATACGCATGCCCGGAGTTTGATCCCTCCGTAGCCTGCATACTGACAATTTTAATTTCACCAAGATCAGACGAGTGGAGGCAGTGGTGATAAAGTCAAGTGGAACTTCTTTGTCGCAATACGACAAATACTGTTTCTCTATACGCTCCTTGAATTGCTCTATTGCCTCACACTTCTGCGCCTCGCTCAAGACTGGGTATGAGTTAATGCGGCAGAATTTGTCTGAAAATGCCACTCTTCGCGCAAAATGGCTCCCTTCAAGCCGGACCAGCGTAAAGGTCATCTCGGTTCTTCCAGATTGACCTTGATGCAGTTCGCTCATGTTGGGTTCCAGGGTGGTGTCGTTGATGTTCAACGGCAATTTGGTATTGAAGGCTGATTCGGGGATCGTTGGTTCAGAGCCATGGTCCTCTGCTGTCCGGACATCCAAAGTGCAGATCTGCCACCAGAGCCGGCGACGCATTTCCACCTCGAAAGGAGATAGACCTAGACTAGCTCCATCGTAATGGAGACCAATCTTCATGGCAGTTCCAATGGCAACGCCTATAAGCGTGCATACGTTGGGTCCACTCTCGTCCTTTCTGCCGCAGATCTAAATAAAATACTTAGGTTCTGTTTTGGTTTATTCATGGATGTATAACTACCAGATAGAGAGCAAATGCCTGCAGGACCGTCAAATCCAGAGACCTGAGGAAGTTTGCGCGCGAAAAGGCCTGCTCGACTCCCGTTCGATACCTTATTCAATCAGCGAAGGCATCGTCCCATGAGAAACATACATACCGCGTTAGTAGTACGGCTTTGTCCTCATCAAACTCCTCACGACACTCTGCCGCCGACATGGTCACTATGGTAGAGTAATAAATTGCAAAGATCAAGCATTCTGTAGGAGCATTGAGGTTAGATCGGCCTCGAATGACACTCATAACCTGCCGTTGCACGGTTGGGGCATGGAAAACTTTTAGCACGGGATCTACCACATCCAGGTAGGTCTGCCAGATGAGCGCGATTACAGATGGAGAAGGATGAAGGGTTTCTAGCGTTGGTGAAGGGTCCGGCCTGAGAGGAAAGGACTGCCAAAGTTGCCCATAGTTGGGTGAAGTAGGATGGGAAGCACCAGTCCAGCCGGAGGTACGCCGATCTTGTTCGATTTCCTACTACTGTCTTAGTAACTAGCTTACTGGCCATGGACTTTCTACAGTTCACTTTAAACAGCAAAAGGCGAGCTTACAGGCCTCGAGGGATCATGTTCCTGACCGGACAATGAAGGATTCATATGCAGGAGTTGTTTGATCTGCGCGAGACTTTGTTCGAGGGACTGGAACTTGCTTTCTATGCTTTCCACCCGTGTCACCAGGTCACTAGTACCCACAGAATGATTCGCATTTCCACCTGTTTTGGGTTGAGGGTATGTGCAGTGAACATGCGTCCGGACGCAGTATGCACAGGGCATGGATCGGTCGCATTTGATCTTACGCCGGCGGCACTCAAGACAGGACCGTCCTGACGCAATCACCTGGCGGGGCATGGGTTGCTGCTGTTTGTTGAAGCTGAGTGGGATGAGGAATGGAAGTACTACTACTAGTAGTAGTATAAATTTAATGGCACAGGTCCCGAGAGGAGCTGCTCTGATTGGCTACAGCGGAGGAACGGAGGACAAGTCCGCATGTAAGCATCACATCCATTTGTCATCGCAAGAACTAACTAGTAATACTGTTGCTGATTCTATACTGACCATGCTGTATAGAAAAGAAAATGCCTCACTGGAGTGCCCAGCCTCGTACATATAAAGATGCTGTCCTTGCCACGGCGTCAGCAGTTCTCAATACACAAAACAGAGACATCGCCACAAACGGCCCGTGATACTATTCAATCCGCAATTGCTCGCTTGCTCTAAGCTCAATTCTTCCCTCATATCCTACTACAATGGCTGGATACAAGAACATCGTTCTCATTGGTGTATGTAAAATTTTATCTTCGCATTTCACCCCCAAACTCACACCTCGAATTAGGCTAGCGGTGATATTGGCAAGATCATCCTTGATAGCCTTGTTGCATCTTCCAGCTTTAACATTACCATCGTGTCTCGCAAGGAGAGTAAGGCTAGCTTCCCTACCGGTATCACTGTCCGCAAGAGCGATTTCTCAGACGCCGACCTTGAGGCTGCCTTCAATAGCCAAGACGCCATCATCTCGGCTGTAGGTGCCGCAGCATTTGGTGAGCAGAAGAAGATTGTCGATGCTGCAGTTCGGTCTGGTGTTCAACGATTCATTCCCTCTGAGTTTTCCTCCAACAGCCAGAACGAGGCTGTCCTGAAATTGGCTCCCTTCTTTAGCCAGAAGAAGGAAATCATCGAGTACTTGAAGACTAAGCAATCCGATGGCCTATCGTGGACTGCCATCGCCACTTCAGGTTTGCTCGATTAGGTAAGTGACCTCTTTACCCTACCTTTTCCTACCGAGAAATATGACTCATTCGGTTTACCAGGGCCTTGTAAATGGCTTCCTTGAATTTGACGTCGCACAGCGTACTGCAACAATCTGGGATGGCGGTAACCAGAGCTTCACCCTTACCAATGAGAAGCAGCTTGGCCAAGCAGTCGTTTCAGTGTTACAGCACCCCCAAGAGACCAGTAACAGACACCTCTACATCGCGTCTGTTGAAACCACCCAGAACGAGATCCTGGCTGCATTGGAAGAAGCAACAGCGGCTAAATGGTCCGTGAAAGCAACCACCACCGAGGACCAGGTAGGTGAAGGATTCAAGAAACTCGGTGCTGGCGACTTCAGTGGTGCATTCCACCTGGTCCGCGCCACCTGTTATGGTAATACCCTAGGCGTGCAGGCTAATTATGCCAAGGACCTGACCTTGGCCAACGATGTGCTGGGGTTGAAGTTGGAATCGGTTCGGGATACTGTCAAGCGTATCGTTGCACGATAATGTGTGGGCTCAATTGATTGGTTTCATTGTATGCCTGTAATATTTCAATACTATCCAAGGACCTAAGACTTTAGTATTTGTTTTTCCATAAATTGAGTGTCATAAGGAATCTAGCATTGACCTAATACGTATATTTGGCGGTCTTCTCGCCAAGTGTCGAAATGTCGTCGGTGTTAATTTTTCAGGGTTCTTAACTATACATATTTCTAGTTAGGGACTAGAACATACAAAGTTTCTTCACACACACACACACACACAGAGAGAGAGAGAGACATTAGTTACTATGCGCATTGTGTTGTTAGTAAGCTGAAAGTGTTCATAATTCAAAGATGACATCATTGATATATTTACAAATCCGTCTCATTCCTTGAAGATGTACTCACAGCTTGGAACATCAACCAGTCCTGCAATACAGAGTCCAGAAGCTATATGTTGCCTGTGATGGACTACCTCTTCCAATAGATACTGCCAACTACTTTTAAACGTTCCTTTGAGGCCATTGGTCACAAGTGTTGCTTCCCATGCATTTAGATTTAGTTACTATTTGGCTCTGCATCAACATTTTCAGATTCTCGGACCAGATATACCCAGAAACAGTTTCTCCAAGTAGCTAAGCATCTGTGAAGCCGCCGCCTGACCATGACTGACTCAAACTACACACCACCAACTGCGGAGGATATATTTCGCTACCGATACCAGCATGGGACCAACCTAGGCTCTATGTTCGTCCACGGACCCTGGTTAAGTGATGGCGCATCGAGTAGTGACTCCGGAGGCTCCAAGGAGCTCGAAGAGGTAAAGATGTCAGTGCGCATAGGGAGATAAGAAAAAAAAATACTTTGCTGACTTCGTTGCTGACCCAATTTCACGTACACAGATCACTCAAGGCTTGCGGACTCGAGGAAACTCGCTCTAAATGGGAAGCACACTGGCGGACTGCTCTGACCGACTTTGATGTTATATGGCTCAAAGATGTGGCACGATGCAACTCAATCCGTATCCCGATAGGCTTTTTTACCCTTGGGCCAGTCTTCTGTATGGGTACAGATTTCGAAGGCGAGCCATCCGAGGTGTATGTCAATTGCTGGAATATGCTGAAACGTCTCGTCGAGAAATGTTACCACCATGGTATCGGAGTCCTCCTTGACTTTCAGACTATTCCAGGTAGTATGGACCAGAACAGTCATAGTGAAATGGGGATTGCTGACTTCTGCGCAAGTGAGCGCAATTGGGCGATAGCTACGGACTGCGTTGCTTTTATCGTCCAGGAAGTTACGTATCATGCGATGTCTGGGGTGATTGGAGTTCAAATATCTAGCGAAACGGACTGGAAAACCTGTGATCTTCGGAAATGGTACGATGAGGTTCTCGAGATCACGAGCTGTATCAACCCACCCCTACCCATCTACATCAGTGATGGTAGGAATTTTGCTGAAGCATTGAACTATGCCATGGCAAAAAACCGACTTCAAAGTCCTATGGTCAGGAGTCCGATTATCGTGGATACCCACAAGTACTACACGACGGGATCATATCAGCACATGGACCCCGTGGCTATCATCTCACGACTTCGCAATGAGCTATCCGAACTTTCAACTCGTCAAGGCAAAGTGGGCTCTCAGAGAACTGCGGTAGACGCCTATATTGGACAATACAGCTGCGCAATGGATGCACAAACCTGGGGTCGCGTGGATGTGTCCGAGAGGCCGGTATTAACCAAAGCCTTCGGTCAAGAACAGAATAAACAGTGGGAGTCCAAAGCATGCGGCTCCGCTTTCTTGGGCTTCAAAATACACCGGATAACTGGTGATGAGTGGGACTTTGAGCGGCAAGTCAGCAATGATGCTATACCGGCCCCTTCATGGCTCGCAATTCCCCGAGCACAAGTTATCAGTAGAATTACACAGGCCAAGGCCCACCGGTCGCAGTCTCGAGAGTCTGCTCTATCACAACACTCGGACCCATCGGATACTCACAAGCACCAACAGTATGTCCTTGGTTGGGATCTTGGGTTCAATGATGCACTGAACTTCTTTGGCGCATTGTCACGAGACGTTATAGCAGGTGGTTGGAACGGAGGAGAAAAGATCGGGGCAATGGAGCTATGGATTCGAAAACGTTTCGCTGAGGCCGGAAAGTTGAATGAGGACTTTGCTGAGGAATGGGAGAATGGCTTCAGGAAGGGCGTCAGCGACTTCTACGACCTGGTCAGTATCAACACTAACAGTGTGCAATGAGATGCAATAATATAGTTTTTATAGTGATAAATTATTCTATACCGTCACCAATGTCTCGATCAACAAACGCAGACCAACTACCTACTTTTAATGTTTCTCGGGCGAATTTACCAGGAAACTAAATCAACCCTTGGGTAATAGCACTTTATACCCTAATCCTTACTACGTGGGCCATGCATTTATGATATGTCCGATCAACGTGAGCCGACTACGATTCGAGATTGAACAATCCCACTAGAATGTAGACAAATGCTTGCAAGAGCACTGCAGTACCCAGACGCTACACGCTACACTATCATGATGCTACATGACACCTAGCTCAACACTTGAGGGAGAGGGTATAACCGTATTTACATTCTTCAAAGATTATTAAAACAAGAGCAACGATGGCCCAGACGAAAAAGAAAATCTAAGTAATATACATATATATTTAGCGTTAACCGCATCCATCTCACATCATACGTCCAGATCTATCCAATTCAAACGCCAAAGAGCAAGCCGCCTTATAGAAAGAACCAAACTCTCGCTGAACAGGCTCCTGGGAGTCACCGTTTTCCGAAGGAGACTGTTCCGACGTACCAGCCACATCCATATCCAAGAAAATATCCGTCGTACGATGAGGACTAAAAGGCCCACTCTCATAGAAAGAGTAATTAAGTTGGTGACCCTCAAAGTCATACTGATGGAGACGGGTGCCCCGGAAATCGCTAACGGGCAGATACATGTACTCTGCCGTAGTGAAGCCATCGGGATCGCGTTCTTTGCCCGCCTCAACTAAGAGATAGTTGGGGATTGAGAGCTGAGAAAAGGCCGGAAGAGGAGTCTCGCCCTCGTAGATCACCGCTTTGGAGAAGAATTCCCGCAGAGAGACCTGGAGGGGTTGCAGGGGGCCGTCCTCGCCGAAGCTGTCCAGTACATCATGGGTTAATTTCCGGATGAAGCGGAGATCGAGGCCGCATTCGGGGAGGAGGTAGTCGACGCTGCTTTGGGATAGGATTGCTCTGGCGTTTTGCACGTTGTATTCGGACTCGAAGCCTCCCGGGGCTATGGCAACTTCGAGCTCGAGTTGGGGAAAGATGTTTGCATGGACTGCGGATGGGACGAGGCGAAGACGGTGCGGTTGGATTTCTTCCTCCGGATAGTCTGCGGCGAGCTGGTGCAGGAATGGGATTACTCGGGGGATGTCGGTTGTAAAGGTTCGTTGAGGTGCCAGTTTGCCTAGCTGGGCGGCGGTGATGGCCTTCCCTTCGAACGGCTTGTGCTGGAAGAGACAACGACCGACTGCTGCTGTTATGCTTTCATGGGCTTCGGCGTTGCCGAGATTGGTGCGTGATCTTGCTCGTAGAAGTTTAAGGAGTTCATCTGATAGGCGCGTTTCGTGTTTATTGAAGAATGGTGCGTCTGACATGTTTGATGCGGTTGTTTGCGCTGATGGTACGGCCCAGCGGAACCATGACTTCTGTCGATCAAACCATGATACATTGAGTTCCGGGTTGATGTCGTAGGTGTCGACGGGCTCTGAGGCTGCCATATAAGTGCCGAATGGGATCGGAGGCTGAGTGGCATCGTGGATTGCCAGATTCAGTGTCCTCCGAGCACTATCTGCGTTCGGTTTGTTTTCGACAAGGTAGAACATCTTAGTTGGTGTAGTGGAGGTCAGATCGAATGAGACGCCGTAAGTCTTGCTGACCCATGACAGGAAATCGGCAGTGAAAACACGAGTTTTGCCTTTTGGGATAGCGCCAGGGGGGTACAGTTCAAGATCCTCCTCTCGTATTCTGGTTGTGGCGTCGTATATGATGTCACGGATGAATTCACAAGAATGAAGCTTTCCGGTGATGCGAACAAGACCAAGCGAATGCGTGATATCAATCTTCGCATCGTGAAGACCAGCCAGCTCCTCGAAGGAAAAGTGCTCCGAGTGTAGAAATAACGATAGTGAGTGGGCGGGAAGACGAATATCCAACTGGCCAACCTCGCCAATGAGCCCAAGGTACCAGCAATCGCGAAGTATCCGCTCAGTGAGCAGATACTTGCCTCTCAGATCTAGCGATGTTGCAACTCTTTTAGCAGCTCCCACCTGGGGAGCCGATTCCGTTTCAAAAAAAGCCGAAGTCCCAGGCCTCCATTGGGCAAGTTTTGCACCTCCATGAAGTATTAAGCCCTCCTCCGGCACTGTCTTTTCCGCCTTAAAATGCTCAATGTAGTCCGACAGTTGCTGGATTGTGAATGATGTCTGGACGTCTGACCGAAGATTCTCCCAGTCGGCGGGACTCAATTTATCTCCCGGGCGATAAGGTGCGCGAAAACTTTCGATTCGTTCCGTAATTAGATCGTCATCGAGTATGTCGTCGGCGTTCTCTATATCGTTCAGCATAAACGGCAGCGCATTTTTCGTGTTTTCGTCGGTGCGATATCTCGGATGTTTAAGGTAGGCAAAGCGGTGACGCTTTGGGTGCGGTACGACAACTACTTCACCAGGATTTCCCAAGGAAGATACATTGATCGGTACTTTGTCAAACTTCCCTCTCGTTGGTCTTGTCTGAGGTTTTACTCTGCGTCTGTATCGGGGTGGCCGGGATTCTAGGCTTTCTGTGCTTTCTGTGCTTTCTGTGCTTTCTGTGCGTTCTTTGCTATCATTTTCTGGCTCGCCATCCGTATGCTGGGAGCGGACAAAAACGTCGCGTAGTCGAAGGGTCGATGGCGACGAACATTTTCTGAAGGAAGGGGGTATCGGGCAGCTCAGAAGCCCCGCGACACCTTTTGAAGATCGCGAAAGCATCTGGGACACAAAGAGAGAATGACACTCGCTAAGTCACTTTTCGCCGACGGAATGTTGAAGCTCAACTTTCAAGCTTGGGAGAATTGATCCTAGAATAGCGCTAGCCCCAAAAGGGAATAGTTAATGGATGGGGCACTTCCTAATCGGTGATAGGGCTTCCGATCTCAAATGTTCAACGATCCGATAGTGTACTAAGAATGAAATGAAACAGAATTCAGAAAAGAGAAGGATAATATGGGTATTATGTATAAATACAGGATTGAACACAAGACTCGAGAAATATTTTCTTCCGCCGTCACTCCTTAACACCAATCTCCCAGCTCCTTAGGTCCTCCCGAACATCAAACTCCGAGAGTTCGTGGTCATTACTGCGGTTCTTCCAAGCATTGCCCTTCGCAGTACCATAAAGTTGATGTTCAATGCTACTTCTCTTCCTGTTGTGGCCAACCCTCGAGCTGAATTCGGGCAATTTACCGTCATTGCGGAGCTGGTTGCCTGAGGAGCTTTTCGGTCGTCTTTCAAAGCTGGGTGAAAGTCTATTCGCCGACGTACTTTTCGTAGCTGCACCGGTGGAGGGAAGATGTTCACCTTCCTTGGCCCTGGTCGATTGAAGATCATGAACTTCGCTGCTCCAGCTAATGCTTCCTGAGAAAAGGTCCTCAACTAGCTTATCCGCAGGTACGTCGTCGGAGTGAGAGTTCCAAGAAGCAGCCAAGGTCCGGCGGTACATATCCTGCATGTCAGCAGCTTCCCTGCTTTGCGTATTGATAGATGGCAGTGGACCCAAATCGTCAGGATCGGTCTGTTCCGAAGATATGACGCCCGTGATGCCACCGAAGGCCATGGCCGATCTCAAAGGGGGTCTACCGCACGTCAGTTAGCAAGCCAGGGTGTATGGCGGGTATTAACACACGTCGTAAAATTCCTATCGCCCTCCACTTGACGCATTGCTACCCCTATCTTAAGAGTGCTGTTTACTTTGCTGTCTTGCATCAAATATCTCCTCACGATACCCTCGTCATCATCGCTCTTATCCACGTATTCAGCGAGGTTGAGTCTGATCCTTCCCAGGAAATTCTTGGTATCGCCGCCTCCCCCCGACTCAAACTCCTGTATAATTTCAAATTGTAGTTCGCATTCGTGCAAGCTCTGGTTCCGGTCGATAGTAAGTCGAACCTGCAGGGTCTTCTCGTAGTTCCAGTATGCTCGGTGATCAATAATGACCGCCTTATCCGTATGCCCATGGTTTTCGGCGCTGCTTGACGAAGGTAAGCGCCATTTGACAAACGCCGTGCCGTTCACGAGGGGAACATTGTTTAGATCGACTATCTTCAGCGGCCGTGGAATCAGTATCGATTTATCAAGACCAGGGGACACAAGTAGCTTACTCTTAAACCAAGCTCAAACCTGGGCTACGAACACAGTCAATGAATTGAATAAACAGAGTATGTCGCTTGACTCACCCTCCTATTCTTTGGAACTAGAAAGATCCATACGTTAGCATCAGGGCCCTATGAGGTCATGATGCCCAGGCTGATAGGGGTACGGATAATGCTCCGCTGACAGGACAAACATCACGTAGGGAATAGGCTTACCAAAAGCCTGCATAGTTGGCAAGGCTCAGTCCAGCGAGCACTATATAAGCATCTGCTCCTCAATTATTTCACTATCGTATAAGCACCTCTCTGTCAGAGATGACAGTTCGATGCTTCCAGTTTCCCCACACTCCGCGCCAAGGCGGGCGTTAATTTGAGATACGTCCGGCAGAAACTGACCGCCTTGAGTGTGCCTCCCAGCGCTGCGGAGGTAAAATCCGCTAACGAGCGCATCTTCAGTGCTTCGGACAGTCTCAAACGAAAGTCGGGAGATATTACGCCCAGCTTAAGTCCAATCAAAAGCGCAAAATGAATCAGGAACCTCTATCCCCGCCTTCAGAGCCCACACCTTCCCCCACAATCAACCAAGTCCCATTAGGCTCGCCTCAGCGCACTACCCCAATACATCCTCTACTTCCCGAATTCCGCGTCCCCGGGGAGCCCTTACCGCCACACAGATACCACCCGGTCACTTGTACTCAGATCGATGCAGAAGCTGAGGACATCCGCGCCCAGATTGAACAATTACGGCAAGAATACACATCGCCGGAAGCAGCTCTGAAAGCACAGGAACAGGCTGCAAGAGAAGTAAAACAGAAGATGGAGGACGCCGAGAGGAAGCGCGAAGATGTCCAGAAAGCGATGGACAAGAAAATCAAGGAAAGAAACACCGAGATGAAAGTTTTGTCAAAATACCAAGAAGTGAAAGCATCAGATATTCCAGCTTGAATAAGGAATCCAAGGGGGGTTGCTTTCAAGAAACCGTCAATAGAACATGCCCAACATCTTGGGGGTTCTATTTCTCATACTGGGATGAGTCCGGCCGCCACGATGCTTGCTTCAAGCTCGGTTATGATCCACCGTTCATTGTTCGCCACTGATCTATCGCGGGTTACGGTTTCCGACCATCTACGCCTATTTCCCACCGACCTTGCCTCTTCAACACCTCTCTACTTTAACCACCTGATCCAAGGGCCTGGAAGAAAACCACCTAGCAATGGCATAAGGAACCGCCTTTGGACTGAGTCAGGGATCTCCTCAGGGGAAAGGGAAGAAAGGAAGCCGTGGGGTTGTCTATTGGGCTATGATAGACCTCGATCTCATACACGAATTGCGTGTTTACTTCGGGACCATGTGTTTTGTTGTCGTCAAGGTACTTCTCTGCAAGCGAACTGAACCATCTCATGGACATGGTTTCAAGGTTGGGCTATGGACGGATTCTTATTAAAACATCACACATCACTGTAATTGGGGCCGCTATCTCTTGGCACCCAAAAGCATCACAAACATGAATCTTATCGACATAAGAGCACGTGATAATATCCTCGTATTATTAAAAGTAAATTCGTTGTCCGTTAATCATAAGCCCTTGAACTGTGGCTCAGATCCTTCACAGCGTACCCAAGATCTTTACTACGACAGGGAGCAACTAGAAAAAATGAGTTAGTGAATAGCCACAAAGCCATAGCTTAAGATTTAACTTACCTCTGAGGCGTCTTCGATCAAAATCTGTGTTTCGTTGACGAATTTCTTAGTCAACAAGTCGTTGGCGTTGCCGAGAAGGCCACCAACTTCGCCGAGTAGCTCTGGGGTAATAACAGGCGAGACACCATCAATGAGGTCTCTCGTCTCGTTGACAAACTTGGGTGTAAGCAGGTTCGTTCCGTTGCCGAGAAGGAAGCCGACATCCTCCAGCAGGTCGGGAGTAATGACAGGTGCCACATTGCCAATCAGGCTCTTCGTTTCATCAATAAACTCACTCGTCAGGAGCTTGCCAGCGTTGTTGAGAAGACTACCAACTTGCGTGAGCAATTCGGGTGTGAGGACGGGCGAGATGCCATCAATCAAGCCCTGAGTCTCATTGACAAACTTCGGTGTCAAGAGAGAGTTGGCATTTGCAAGGAGACCACCCACAAGTCCCAGAAGCTCAGGAGTGATAATCGGTGCAATGCCATCAATCAAACCGCTGGTCTCCTTGACAAATTTCTCTGTCAAGAGAGAGTTGGCGTTGCCAATCAAAGTGTTGGTTTCGTCGACAAATCCATCGGTCAGCAGGTTGCCGGCACTATTCAACAAGCTACCGACCTTCAAGAGCAGGTCAGGTGTCAAAACAGGAGAAATAGTGTCAATCAAGCCTGTAGTCTCGTTGACAAACGATGGGGTCAACAGGCTATTGGCATTGTCTAGCAGCGAGCTAATCTGTTTGAACAATTCAGGCTTGAGTAGAGGGCCGGCTTCCTTGAGCAGGTTATTAACCGTGTTGACGAAGTCTTTAGTCAGCAGGCTATTAGCATTATCCAGTAGCGAGCTGATTTCTTTGAAGAGTTCAGGTGTAAGCAGAGGACCAAGTGAGTTGATCAAGCTCTTAATCTGCTTGACGAAGTCTGCAGTCAGCAGATCGTTGGCATTGTTAAGGAGGCCACTGATCTCCTTGAAGAGTTCAGGCGTAAGTAGAGGACCGAGCGAGTTGATCAAGCTCTTGATCTGCTTGACGAAATCTGCAGTCAGCAGATCGTTGGCATTGTTAAGGAGGCCGCTGATCTCCTTGAAGAGTTCGGGTGTAAGCAGAGGACCAAGCGAGTTGATCAAGCTCTTAATCTCCTTGACGAAGTCCGCAGTCAACAGATCGTTGGCATTGTTAAGGAGGCTACTGATCTCCTTGAAGAGTTCAGGAGTCAAGAGAGGACCAAGGGAATCGATAAGTTGCCGCAGCTCCTTAACAGTCTCAGCTGTCAGTAATTGGTTGGCGTTTCCAATCAGAGCATTGACCTCCTTGACAAACTCAGCGGTCAGAAGGTCATTTCCATTGTTCAATAATGTGGAAATCTGCTTGAACAGGTCATCTGTCAGAAGAGGACCAAGTTGTTTGATCAGTTTCTGGATCTCATCAACAAAGTCAGATGTCAACAGCTTGCCGGCGTTGCTCAGCAGACTATTCAATTCCTTGATCAAGTCTTGTGTAAGGAGGCCAGATCCAATATTGATAAGAGACTTGGTCTGTTCCGTAGTCTTGTCGTCAAATAGGTAGGCAAAATGGTGGAAGAATGATTCAACATCCTTGAGGAAAGTTGGAGACAGGAGACCTAGGAGACCCTGGAGTCCATTGCCCAGGTCTGTGCCAGGGTTTCCGGTAACTCCATCAGGGATAAGGTTCTCCCACGGACTACCAGCTGACGACGTTGAGGAGGAAGCGGCAGTTTTGGTAGCGGATTCCTGAGTTTTGGACTGTTCGGTAGGCGAAGCACTACCCTCGGGCTCCGCTGGTGAGGCAGTCGGGGCAGGCGCACTAGATTCCTGTTGGGTAGAAGACTCTGCAACGCCAGTGGGGATTAGATGTGACAGCAGACCACCATCCGTTTGTTGATTGGCATTGGGACTCGATGACGGCCCTGGGGCGGCGTTCGATTGTGGAGCGACGTTGGCAGTCGGCTGCTGCTCGTCGTTGGCACTTTGTTGCTGGCTGGGTTCGGCAGTCGGCTGCTGATTCACGTTGACCGTGGGCTGCTGGCTAGGCTCAGCAGTCGGCTGCTGGTTGACATTGACGTTCGGTTGTTGACTAGCATTATCGCTTGGTTGGGCAGCTGCAGCTGCAGCAGTCGCCTCTGCAGCAGCCGGTGTCTGAGCTATCGGATGTTCCTCCGGAGCCCCCTGTGATGAGGCACTACCCAGTGCTGAAGAGACTTGGGCTGGTGTTGCCAGCGAGGTGCTGGAAAGCAAAAGGGCGGAAACTACTGTTGAGAAACGCATGCTGGGTGTATACTCTCCACAGGGGATGGCCAGCAATTGACGACTGAAGGGCCCAATTCCAGAACCAAGGAGGCTGCATGACTCCTTTTATGTCTGCAGGCGTGCGGGAGTCTACTCCATTCTGTCCACAAAGCTAATGGCGACAACCGGATTAGGCCGAGGGCTAGTCAATGATCCCCACATGTGAAGCAAAAGGCGTTGCATTGGTGGTTCTCCAGCATTGATGTCAGTGGCAGAAGGTTTTGGGCCCGATCTGCGGGGGAAATGCCCTTTTGGTATGGACTTGATACGACATGCTGATCGCTTGCTCCCCTGTCGACATAGCAGCACCGCTGCAGGGTCGTATGGTCGATGGCAGGCGGAGAAATTGGTGCGATCTGGAGCAAGCTATGCTTGTCGGAGTGAGCCGTGGATCCCCGGGGTGAGTGAGGGACAATCAGCCTTGCGGGGAGCAAATGAAAAGCGCGATAAATTGCGAGTTTCCGTGAGAATCTCTCTTCATCCCCAGATATTGTCTCTCAATTTCGGTTCAGCCTCGGCGATCGACAAGGGAACTGGTTTTCTTGAACCAAGCGAGCATTTGACAATCGCCGAGATACTTTGCGGCTATGCCTATGGGGGTATACTCCAATTAACTTGTTGATCTACGAGGACAGTGGAGCTCCCTGATTGGGAGCATGAGAGCCATAGTAGCAGTTAGTCCCTGACTAGACTGCATGCCATTGAGGTACGGGCCCGGGCAAACCCTACGACTTGAGTACTCCGAGCGGCGGTGAATTGTGGTTAACCCACACGGCCCGTGATTATTCCTATTACTTGAGTTAGCTCTATACGTATTTCTTTGGTTAAAGGTTACCTCAGCCGGGGGACTGTTTGCTATGCTAACTACTTCGAAAGATGATTTTCAGGCGCTCTCCTTGCGGGGAACGGAGCATTGCCCATGAGAGGAAATTATCGGGGAAGATAACGACCCCCAACTGTGGGGTTCCTATTCACCCACAATTGTTCACTTGGCATGGGGAAGTTAGGTGCGGTATCTGAACTCAGCCGACTGCGGGAGGAGGCAAGACTCTAGGGAGAGAAAATATTGCACGGAAATGCGGCTTTCTTTGTTCGGAGATTGAGCTCGGTAGCATGTGAAGCTGGCTAGCATCGTGAGTCAATAAGCGCACGAGCAGTTAGTAGAAAGTTGCGCCTCTGTGGGCTTCCCTGTCGGGTTTAATTTGTTTTAGCTTGGTGATCGACAGTGACCATTAAGCGGGGTTTGCCTGTTGGTTCCTTTTTTTTCGTCCACCAAGAAAGTCTTGTTTTTTCTTGGGCAGGGGTCTTCAAAGTTGAATTGTCTAGTTGGGATCCTTTGCCCCATCCCCGTATATTGCTACTCCACAAACATACGCGGAGGGATCCAGTTGGTGATAATCCAGTGCTAGCCCACGGCTCAGATAATGAAAGGGGAGCATCGAACAACTTTCCTTTCCCTTATGTCTTTTATTTTGGTTTTATTTTGCGCTGGCAAATCTCGCCTTTCAGAATCCCCGGGAATCGTATCCAGCAATGTGATGGTTTGTTGTATGTACATGCAGGTCGAGGTCGGCCTTGGCCTGCATACAGTAGTGCCCGTCAAGAAAGTTAGGACTTATCGCACTGCTTACCAAGTAGAGGAAAGTATCTCGTCCGAGCTTCACTTTGCCCAATACGAAGTACGATAAATTAATATAAACTGCTGGAGATCACGCGTACTCCAATGGATCTCTCCAAGAACGCGATCAAGGCGTGTCTTGGCTTCCCTAGTGGCACAGGTCACAACAACGCTCAACCGTCTTTTGGGCATCCAAAGATGGATTATGTCATTTTTTGACATTGGATAAATTGTGATCCGCACAGGTAACCAAAGTTGAACGAGAGATCTCTGAGACATTGAAGCGGGGAATGGGCGGGAACCTTCGGTAGTGCCTGGGAAAGTGGAGGGGAAACAGAAAAAGGTTTCTTCCAACTTTCTGGTTCTCCGTTACTATTTTTTGTTCAAGTCACTTGACAGGGGTGTGCAGCCTAAGGTTTCCTTCCGTGTGTATACTAACATCTTGAATTTATTATACTCTACTCCGTCGATATTACTTAGAGCACGACATGGTAATTAATATCGGCAGGGTCCAGCAACGCCACAGGAAGGCTTTGACCTGCTACCAACTTCTGCCTTATACAGTCCCCATCGATGCCCGTTTTCTTATGTTAAGGACTCAAATATCAGATCAAGCATAGCTTAAACATGAGGCTGAAGCTCCATACCCCCCATTATCCACCATAAGCGAAACGGCGACTAACTAGTTAGTTAATTGATATTAGTCAGTTGCTTATCCTTGGGGAGAAAAGACAGAAAAAAACAAATCTCCCCCTTGCCCCTTATCCGAGAGAAGATCCTTTCCCAGATGCGACACATGTACGTACGCCTACTGCAAAGGATTAGGCCATTCTATTATAACGGAGATTCCTGCACCTGCAAAAATCTCTGGTATACACTGATGATAAGAAGGTTACATCAGCACATACTCCGTCCCGGCAAAGACGGCCCATTTTGACTAGCGGACTTAAGATGCATCATGCATCTTAAAAAAAGTCCGACCTGTATTCTCCCCACAACTATATAATTAATTTTCCTTTAAAGATATCGTATGACATACCCTACCATGAATTCTAGATGAAAGGTGCCCGCGAGTGCCAAATATTTGCGTTCGTCGCCATTAGGTTAAATTAAGATGGCAAAACAATGATGCCAACTAGTTTACCTACTCTAAATGCTAGGAATTTGCTAGCCAGCCCCACTGGTTGCTTTTCTCCTTTTCCTGGCGCTTCTCTCACATCAACAAACACTGCTGTCGTCCTATTCCATTTTCCGCTCCCACTGTTGGAGCCATGCTAATCCCAAAAATTAGATGTTCTAGATCTTTGATAGACTACGCAGTATATGCCTAGCGCAGAGTTTGGAGACAATCAACATCAACGTGCAGAAAATATTACAGAAAAAAATATTACACCACCCCGAAGTACAACCGACTTTGAGCCATATGTACTACTAAATCTTTCTGATAGACTTGGTTCAAACAGGGCAATGGCATGCGTTAAAGTCGAAAGATGTTTTTCGCAGAAATTTTCTTGTTGCCTTTTTCTTTTGAGCGGGAGGTGCGGTCTTTTCTCTTCCTAGATTCATAGCATCCTTGTGGCTGGCGCCTATGCACGGAGTAAAGGCGTGACGCTATCTGTAAACACTTGATTATCACATCGTATAGCCAATCTCTAATGTGACCCTCAACTAACAAAATCTATATAATGACAGAATCTAAATCATTGGTACGGAGTCGTATGTGTGTATGCATTATAAGACACGTGACTAATCTCAACCCTAAGACAAAGGGTCTTTACGACGGCTTTTGGCTCTTCTCCTCCATCATCTCTTCAAATTTATTAGCTGCTCATTTGACTATGTGCCTGAATCCTAACTTGTTAAGGTGCCGTTTCGGGACGTGCTGTAGCCTCAAGGTCCTTTGACCTCTTCTGATACCGCCATCTTGGCCCGTATCCGAACACCAGGATTACAAACTATATGCCAGTGATAGTCACCGCGAGCCATCGCACGCCACTAGCATTGTTCGGAGGTTCCACACTACCAGATTCTGTCCAACAACGTGCCATTTTCATTGTCACCGATGCCCCCTCTAGCTTGACCCGGTTTAGTACCCAGGATCAGATTGCTGAACCATGAGCACGCAATTGAGCTGCCGAATGATTGTAAGACGAGGAATACCATGGATGCGGCTAAGGGTGTACAAATTTCCATCATCCATTAATATGCTACCAGGTTGACTCCGGAAATGAGGAGTAGAGACTGGCTGACTGGCTGACTTGAAGACGAGCAAGTTTGATGAAGAAGACTGAGAGGTCTTGCATCTGTTCCTGCATAGGCGCTATTGTCTAAGTGGGCTATTAAGTCGGCTGATGTGACGCGAGGTCTTGTCTCCGAGGACCGTAATGAACATAGCCGGTTGTTAATTTATGTGAGTCTAGTGTCTTATTAGCAAGTATATCTCAAAGAGGGTACAAGGGTGTTTTACCTATGATGTGACAGTGGCTGTTTCTACGCTAAGTCTATGAGTAGAGATCTGCTATTAGGGTTTTCATTATCTTTCCTCAAAGATGTTTACAGTCAATAGATAAGAGGAGAGAAGGAGTCCGAACATTTCTCACTTTAAAAACGACACCGGTGAGTACCCAATACCAGTCCCTGCCTTCCTTCCCGTGGATTGCTAGCATACCATGCATATGCCACAGATCGATTATCCATTCCTGTATTTGAAAGACTTCTCTCTCTATCTTTCTCTTCCATTTCTGCTCTCTCTTTCTCGACGCCCTGAACCCCAAGTATCCCCAGTCATTACTGGCTGGAACCAGACTTTCATCGCATCATTGCTGTCGACTCTCATAGTTGAAATAATAAAGTAGATCTTGTCTGCAAATCTGGTCATCTCGGGGACATTCATATTAAAGACTCTGGGTCTTGTCCCGACAGAAAGTCGAATTCACTCATGAAGTACTGGTCAAATATCCCATCGGTCTCAAGACCGAAACCTACATACGGCGTTTTGCGATCATATATAATTTGCTGTGCTTCCTGCTGCAGTAGATCCATGGGTACAGCTTGAGCTGCGTCAGAGGCCATCCTACTTCGTTGTAAGAGATCATCAATGCCCTTGGTTATACTGACAAGGAGGTGATGTGGATGCATGCTCGCTGTCACTCCCTTCAAAACTGTGACTAGCGATAGCATTAAGCGTTGAGTTTCTTGATTATCAAGCTGAACAGTAGCAGAGAATCGGGTGGATACTTTGAGCAGAAAGACCACTGCAAAGGCGATCATAATATCAAAATATGTCGGCAAGCCGTTGGGGTATGATTGAATCTCGGGATCTGAGATCACCGCGCGAAGGATAGATACGGCGGAAAGTACCGCAGAGTTTGCTATTTCCTCCAACTCCAGAACCACATCAGGAGCTCGGGATTTAGCAAGGCGTGATCCAGCACCACGCAAAGCATGCGAGCAGAGATAGAGCTTGGCACAATGATATTGTATTCCAACACCTTTGCGCGGGTAGTTCCCGACATGGGCGTTTCGGTTAAATTTGTCGCCCCATTCAGCACAAAGGCTATCCAAAGCGATGCTGAACCGTCGCACGTTGGAAATATCTGCACCTGAAAGAAGCCGATCGACGTCGGCACCGAAAGTGTCATAGATATTGGTGCATATACTCCAGCGTAAGACCTGGCTTACCAGTCGTGCATCATCCTCAGTAGCATAGGTGCAGTCCAAGAACTTCCGCACATCTCTCACAGCCTCACATTCTCTAGTCATTGGTGGTCTGCCATATGGCACGGAAAAGTGATGGTAACAAGCATAGACCAGCAGGTATAACCGTGCGCGTGAATAGTGGTTCCTGTCTCCCTGTAAAGCCTTCGAAAAACTCTTATGCAATTGTAATTCCGCGGTTATTCGTACAGTTAGACCGACTAACGACCAGGAAAGGTCACTGAGCCAAAAGGCACCAATGCAGAGCGCCCGGACGTCATCGACGGTTTGCCTTCTTGAAAAGCTCAACGGTGCACTTAGGGCGACGAATTCTTTGTACAGCACTTCAAAATCCGAAGACGAAAAATGCAACGCACCTACTGCGCAGATAGCGGTTGTTAAAAGCGGCGAAACTTCTCTAATGCGACCCAATGTCGCCGTGCTATGATCTCCCAGGATCCGGTAAACGAAGTGATCCAGTCGGTTTTGATACTCATCAAAATATCGCAGTGCATTCTCAGTGCTTATCACACCACGAGCGATAAAGTCCGTGGGGGTGTTGGCTGGTACGGAATTTGCTCGTAGAAGATAGTGGCCTGGGAGCGCACCTGGATTTGATTCCAGATCTATGGTAATCCTCCATCGGCCCGGACGCTCACTTGTTGTATCTTGCTGATTCCCTTCCACTACTTCCTCGCCCACCGAGGATGGCTCATTCTCTAATCCTTGCTCGTTTTGCTGAGGGAGGTCTAAGGGTATATTATTATTCACGTTCCTACTGACGGCCGCTTCTAGCGCTTGTATTTTCTGTTCTATATTCTGCTTCCATCTGATAGGCACATTGAGTAAAGTAGGCATAGTCAAGGGTTCAATTCCACTTACACTGCATCATTTTCTAGCAACATCTGCAGACTGCGATTTACTGTGCATGGCAGATCCTTCTTTCTGCATCGAGCACATGGTGGCTGGGACTCATACATATGGCATTTTATCTGGACCAGTATTAGACCTGTAGCAAATAACATCATAGCCTGTCACTACGTACCTTTTGCTTTCGACAGGCGACACAGGCAGTGATCTTGCGAGTTATGTCGGGCGGTTTGGGGTCCCCAAATGTGTCTCGAAGTCGTCGGACTGCTGAGCCCGGTGGTTCGCGGTTTCGAGTAATGATTCAATGAATTGCGGCACCAACACTACTAGTTGTCAATCCATATTTAGAGATACTACTAGGAGCCTGACATCCGTATGAACTTATTCCACTAAAAGAAGCCAGTGAATTAGTGCATGGAGAATACAACAGAATGCCCGCCTTAGAGGATTGGGTCACCCAGCTTCGGATCCTTTGCCTTATTTTCTGCGATTATTCCTCCGAATTCCATCGGTTTGCTACATGTTAGTCAGACTGGGGTCGACGATTTAGAATATTTACACTATGAGCAATGTTATACCCAAGTGTTTTGCATGTTTGTTTGTCCGTTCCCTTCTCCTCTTTGTAGCATCGCCAGGTGTCAACGACAACAGCTACTGTTGAACTTTTTTCTAATAGCAGGAACGACATATGTTACCAAGCTCATATGGCCCTGGAACCGATGGGATGGTTGTTCGGGCAAAGCAAAATCGGAATGATCCTTTCATCGACAAATGGCGTCTGTTAGTTACCTTTATCGATTTCGCCGTGGTAGGTGCCAGTGATGGAGTCTATGGAGAATGCCTTGCTATTATAGATCGCTTACATAGAAATGCTCACAATTTTGCAGGCATTAGTCCCACATGTATGCACTGAGTATATTCGTCTGGTATCAAGCATTGCGACATCTAATAGCTCTGTCAGAAAGTTAGCCTATTAACTATGGTTGTTTCCTGGGTTTTTGTGACAGCCTTTCTCGTATGGTTGCAACTATCCTTGTAAACACAGTCCATATGACCATTGAACAGAGAGGCATTGCGATCATAGGTCTCCTCAGCCATATCATCCCATCTATTGTCATGGCGATTCACCCTTCGTACCCTGTCATGCTGGCTATCTACGCTTTACCTACATGGACGCTGAAGGTGAACCCCTCCCCCAAGCTTAATCTCCGGTAATGTCTGACGAACATTTTGGCAGTTCTCTGTAAGTGGGTGGTTCGTGGAGCTTAAGGTTCAGGTTCGTTATGGAGGCCCGTTCGAGTCTGGCACAATTCCAACTGGCTTTTGGGATGGAGTCACGCTCAGAAGGTTTATTCTTTGCTATATGAATGAGTTGTTAGGCATGTTAAACAAGTTCTGAAGGTCACATGGGAAATTACTGATGGTGACTTAAGGAGAGCTATGACTACTGTATAGCATATTGGAGAGCCTAGCGAATACACTGCCAGCGTGTCACTGGCGGTAAGCAACATCTACTTTCCATATACTGTTAACTTAAAGTTAAGTTGATCCTTTATCCAAGATTCAAAAAGTTCAGCTTCGAAAGGGTATGTGGCAAGCACTATTCAATTCACGTAAAACTTTTATTAACGCAAAGCTCCATACGAAGGATTTATGTTTAAGGTAAGGTAAACTAGATAAATGCACGAAATTGTTATACTCTCGAAACGTCCTTATGATTATAGAGACTTATATCACTGGCAATGTCAGTCAGCGACAGCGTATCAGCCGTAACTTTCGATTTAAAACCATATACATCTAATGCCATGAGCCTCTGCTTCTAGTACTCGAACCAATCCAGACTTCATCCCGGAAAATCACGCCTCCAGAATGACAGGAAACTTCTCTCCTAGAGATGATGGATGCTCTACGATTCTTGGCCAGACGACGAGATCAGCTATCTTCTACAACTAGACGTTCGCCGTTGTCGGTCTCAATCAAAACATGATGAATTCCCACTACAATCCGACCGAAGGCGCCATATTGGAGCAGACTCGTGTTATTATTCCAGTGCACTGATTGTCGTCAACCGCGAAATGAACGCCATGGAGATTTCCCGGAACTAGTACAATCGCCTGGTCATCGAGGCGCTGAACGAGTTCCCATGACCACAAACACAAGCTGACGTTTGGGCTCCTATGGCCGTGTCGACTGCATGTCATTCCATACCACTAGTAAACCTTCAGGATGGCAGTCAGTGAAGTTCTGTCTCCGCCCATAAACCGTCTCATCCTGAGCGCATGGCATTGGTCAGGACAACGACCCGAGCAGTAGGCTGCGTCTCACCAGTCTGGATACAATTTAATGGCAGCTGAGTCTGGTGTAAAGTTCGCGCGTCATGACTCAATCGTCACTATGGATGAGAGGAGCTCAGCTTCATCGCGATGACAACATTATGCAGCGTGACGAGCTGCGTAGCCATACTGACACCACTGTTTTTTGAGTCCACCGAAAACGTCACGTTGAAGTTTACCCGCCAGCTTAAAAGGGACAATCAAGGCGTTGTAAGGTCGACTGGAGGAAACATTCATTGGCTCTCGGCAACTCACAATGATACATGTCAATCTGCGAGTGGTGATCTGCTCGGACTAGTCTAGCTAAGCCCAGAGATAGGTGGCATATGCTCAAGTCTCGCAGTGAGTATAGGTTGAGATGGTGATGGCTCCAGAATCTTGTACATCTAATTAAATATATGAGATCAAGTACGTCTAAGCGATCCAGGGCCTGCATAAAATACCACTATACATTTAAAGATTGGCGAGCATATCAAAATTTCAAGGGCGTTCTAGGCCTATCACGTGAGAGCTTTTGCTGTTTAGCATTCAACTAGGAGTACGTGAAGTATCAGGGCTTTTGAGGTATTTTACCGTATGTACGGAGTAGTCCGTACATCTCGGTATATATTCTCCATGTTTAGGGTTGGAGAAAAATAATCAATACACGGCCGCGGGTGTGTTACTATAATTGTTGTATGCCTCAGTTTTTTACCAAATGTTATAGTGTCTTTCTCTGTAGTTTCCCTTCTTCTTTCTTCCTTGCCTATGCTTAACAACCCCTATGTCATGGTTTGGTTGTACTGCAGAAACTCCGCCACAATACCAATGTGGCTGATGTGGCAACGTGACAGAGGCGCAGCGGTCGGTCATCTCCGAAGGAATATCTTTAGTCGCTACCAGGTCATATGCGGTGCTCGTACGCTCTCACGGAGGTGACACCTTTTTTATTGGGGTTAATTCTCCTGAATCATAGTCAATCAACTTTATAGGCCCTACGCCCTACTCTGCTATGGAGGGGCGACAAATAACGGTCAAACTTAGTTGCAGTGTGTCGCGAAACTGTGGCCCAAGCTGACGACGCTGGTTGCCTTGCTGCACAAGTGTTATTTACTTCCTAGGTTACTCCTGTCGGATGCCGATTCCAACCGATAATGCGAAACGTTCTGGCATCATCAAGCAACTTTTTGCCACAGCTTGTGAGTGCTCTGCGTGCATCAAACCCATTGCTGGGCGCGTGCTGATACCATAGCAGTGTGTCATTATCTGATCTCAGACTACCGCCATTCAAGTGCAATTCTTCTGCCTATCCTGTTGAGTCGTCTGTGGGGTACTGTGCGACAAGTTGGTGGGTTGATTTGATGGCAGATATCACAAAATTTCCCTATCCCGCCTAACCCGGTGTGGCCGGATCCCAACTACCCCCTGATGTTTCCGTGTCCGCGTGCAGTAGATCATGGGGTCTATTGACTGAAAGGTGCATCACCCGGCCTCCAGGATACCTACATACCTACCAACCCGGGCCTTAGATCTCCGATTACTGCAGGCGGACGAACTAAAAGGACGAGCCCTACTTAATAGGTATGTAGTGCAGTACAGTCCCAGGGAAAAACGCGAGTAAAGCATGGATGCAGTTCGGGAAAAAAAAAGAGAACTGACGGAAGTGCAACCGGACAACCCCCCTTTTTCTCCTGCGCTTGTAACGGAATGGCATCTTACGAGTCCAGACGGTAGTTCGAATGACTTCCACTTCTGGTAAAGTCTAGAGATGACCATCAATGAAGCTCAGTCCAATGGTAGATCGTAACAGGGATCTCAGGTGCAGCGCAGTGAGCCGGGCTCTGTTGCCATCAGCGAATCTGAGGCCTGAACAGGCACCCTTCCAGCATCCCAAGATTTTTTAGGCCCTTTAGCTCGCCCCACGAGGACTCGACCCGCGATTCATCAGGTGAGATACTGGGAAATTTTTTTTTGTTCTCACAGTCGATTAATTTTCCCTAATACGCTTTTCACCCTTTCCTTTCCTCATTAAACGTCATATGTGGAACGAAACATGGCGGAAGGTGGGAAAATGGGAGGGACAAAGAAAGGGCGAAAAGGGTCAAAGGGATGTTTTAAGCTACGAGATATGGCAGGGCTCATCCCGCTGTGTAGCACAGATGGAGAGGTCATTTCATTCATGATTGTTTGGGAATTAGGTTGAGGGGGGCATAGGTTTGGATTCGCCTAGAACCACGGTTGATACACGAGTCTTCCACGGTTGAGTTGCAGTAGGCAAAGTAGACTCCTGTAGAGCGTCCAGGCTTACTGCACTATTGCAGTCTGCAAGGTATACTCTCTCTGTACAGTGTTCACGGAAGGGCAGGTGCATGTATGTACCATATGCGATTCTACACACATGTACTTTGTGTGTCCAGTAACATGTTAGGCCTTTGGGCCATTGTTGTGCGTACTGGTCAAAGCTTTGTGGAGTCTTTCTTCGGGCCCTTTTGTCTGGAGACGACGTCATTATGTTTTTGTTGCAACAGATTCAAGAAACCAGTTCTTTTCTTCTTTATTGTCTATGGTATTTTTTTTTTTTTTTTTTTT